TGGAGCACTAAATGTGCACCAGTGTCCTGGAACCTGACTGCCCTCGAATAACGACAAATGCTTGCTATTGTTATACTACATTAAAATCACATATAAGAAAACGATCCGCGAATATCGTATTTTGAGTACCGTTTCTAGATGGCTGTCGTTTCGAGTGACTTAGGGTCTCAAGTCTTCGATGAAAGGTATATATTAATATAAAAATAATATTTTAAAGCACCCCCGAACTCCCAATATCAAAATTTTCCGATTTTTATATCGGGAGGCCCCTCGGGAGAGGTAAATTTGGAAACGTTTTTCTTGCGCGTACAAAACGAGATAACTTCATCTGCGCTCTTAAGGTAAGAGTAGCAATTATAAATAGAGAAATAGATCCTCTTTAAAGAACAGCTTGTCAAGTCTGGCGTAGAGCACCAGCTACGCCGCGAGATTGAAATAATGTGTCATCTTCGCCATCCTAACATCCTACAACTGTACACATACTTCCATGACAATTCAAAGATTTACCTGGTGCTGGAGTTTGCCTATTACGGCCAAATGTATAGTGAACTTCAGCGCGAACAGCGCTTTAGTGAGCGCAAGGCTTCAACTGTACGTTTACCTTCGTCTATTCACTTTTTTAGTATTTATATCAGCTGTGCGATGCCTTGATTTACTGCCATGCGCGCAAAGTTATTCATCGAGACATTAAACCAGAAAATCTCCTTCTTGGTTTGTGTCACGAACTGAAATTAGCGGACTTCGGCTGGTCTGTCCACGCTCCCTCCCTGAAGTAAGTCGAATTGATTCCAATACTTCACTCACTTTATATCTCCTATGCCTGGTCGGTGAATTGGCGTCTGCCTAAGCCCTAGTTTTCAAGGCTTGCACCTTAGTAAATTAATGTTAAGGGATCCGACGGACAAAGCGTTCAATAAGGTTTGTGCCTTGTGCTTTTTGGGTTCCAACTGTTCAACGGGCCTCGAAATACGTTACGCGGCACCTTTTGGTCTCCTCTACTGTCATTGATATCTTGTATGCATGAGCTTTGGTTAACGGTCTGGTTGCATGTGTAGTGACTAGTGTCTTCTATGTCGCAGCATTCGGGCATATCAGTTGAATAGTAAGCAGCTAAGTTGGGTGTTACGTGACCCCGACACCCGGTACGCCTCTTCACTTTTTCGCCATTTCTTTTCTGTGTTACTCGTGAAGCATCCTATTTTTGTCAAGCACTGTACCAAATTATCAAGGGAACCTGACAAGAGCGATTGGCTCTTTCCTAAGTCCGAAGTTTCACCGATGCATCTTTGTGTTCTAAGATCAGAGACCACTGTGGATAGTTCATAATTGGGTACTTGTCGGTGAGTCACCAGCTCGATCAAACCGAATACCCATCGCGACTTTCCAATAAGACATTTATTTATACAAAACCATATTTGGTTTTTCATATTCAAGGGCGTCTGCCTACAAATTTACACAACCACCAGGCATTAGCTTATGTGGATCGACAGAACTGGGAAGTCTTTGGTCGTAATCCTTTCCTGCATGTTCCATCATCAGACGTTCATGCATCCTACCTCTACCTCTGACTTAAAACATGTGTAGACACCGCATTAGTGGGCGATAGAGCACAATCATGTAGGACTGCTTAACTCGAAGACTGCTTTTTCCGGGTGAACTGGCTAGAGTTATTACAAATAGATCCCAAAGATTAATGTTCCAGTTTCCAGCATTCCCTTTTTTCCTCTGCTGCTGTTCACTCTTAGGCCCTTTACATGATGTTTTCGTGATCCTTACTGACAGATTTTAACATTTGCTTGCTCTGAATAATTTTTCAGGTCGGTGTGCTCATTTAAATGTATGAATACGCGCTTAGCCCCCATAATTGGCTGTGCTGTAGATGAACTTGACCAACTCGGGCGACAGATTGAATCACGGCATGCGTTCATCGAGCTGCTCAGTTTGTGCGAACTGGTAACTATTGCCGCATGTGGAGGAGTGTGGTGATACGTTTAAACTTATGCCTTGCCGTCCCAGTCACCGCGCACACTCCTATTCCCCACTGAGGGATAGACTTGAACAGCCGGCTGGTACATGCAAGTTAATGCGACGGACACAGAGGAATTCGTATCCACTACTTATCAGCGCCTTTCTAACATCTGACCTGTCTGAAGAAATAACGGCGTGCTAAAAGTCCTGACATGCAGCTGGTCAACTGACTAGGTAACTGTTTGGCTCAGTACCGAAAGTTCTTTTTGCAATGACGTGGTGTTATTGTTATGACAGTCACGCATTTGGGGTCCAAGACACTCATACAATCTCAATAAGAATTGTGAGACCAGGCCTTCTGTGGTGCGCGTAGACGAGTTGCTTAGCTTTGTCGGCCACGGCGCCCCAGCCCGCCTTCGGTCGTGTGTACACTGTGTTGTCGTCGGAGCATGACGGGTTAGTAAGAAGAGACTGACGGACATGATTTTCATTGAGGTGACAAGGTAAGGGAGACAAGACAAAATGCGAGAACTACCGCGGCATAAGCCTCATCGACATTGCTGCGAAGATTTTCGCTATTGTTCTCCTCAGGTGGTTCCAGTCTGTGCGTGACTCCAAGGGCGTCAGGGAGGCGGGTTACCCAGGAAAGGAGGGTTACCCGTTAGCCAAGCTGCAGGCTA